TTTTTTGCTTTACTGTTCAGCTTACATTTTACAATACTGAGCTCCAGACAGTTTCTTTTTTATCTGCCATGCTCTTCATTTTCTGAAAAATGTTAACTAAAAATTTCAACTAAATTATCAAAATAGAGAATAATGATCGTAAAGTAGAATACTATTTATGTTAAACTAAATGATAAATGAATCAGAATGATTAGTGAGACTGATTAAATGTGGAATAAATAACAAATGAAAAGAGAAAAAATAGAGCATTTAGCTCTTTACCTATTAAAATCTTTCCTGGTGAGTTACTGTACATGCAATGACATCATAGTAACAAAAATCTGGTACCTTTTATTTTATAGTTTCAACTTTCACTTAAAACTATGTTAAAATTAAACAAAAGGCCAGAATTTCTATTATTATTGAGCATTATTGCAATTAGAATGGCAATATTTGTGGTATTTGTTAACATTAGCAGTCAGGTTTTTGAAAATCAGGGCTTTACTATTACTTTAACAGTAATAGTCTACAGTAAATACACGATCTTAATCGTACATGAACTTGTTATTCACCTATTACAATCTTATTTAAAACCTCTTACCACTTTTAAAGGCAACACAATACAAATTCTTTGTGGGCATATTGTCTTTGAAGTCACTGCTCGTAACATGGCAGTACTGTTGCTGCCGGTCACTGATTGACCTTCACTAAGTGGTGAGCAACATGGACTCAGCTGTATGAATGGCCAACACTAGGCTTCTGAGAATGACTGAACTGCCAGACCTCATCGCCAAGCAGCAAATCCAGGTAGCACACTTTTGAAACCATGCCATGACACATTTTAACTCTCTCTATATACTAACAGCAAGCACCACAATGTGAAATAAATAATATGATTCAACTTCTGACATGGCAATGATGCACTGTTTTACAAATACAATATTTGATAGTTTTATTTATAAGAGATAACATATTAATATATGTTTAAATAGAGAAAACATTCTCTTCCATCTTATTTGGCACCCCTTAAAGCCTGGTGCTCTAGGTGATTGCCTAGTTCACCTATATGATCTGGTTGGCCCTGTTTGAAGGACTGCTTTGCCCACCTGAGCACTGTAGGTCAAGTGAATTATCTTTTTTTTTTTTGTGGTGTGTGGGGGGGGGGGAGATTTCAGTTTTGCTCAGGGCAGCTTCTTCTATTACCAAGGAAGCTGCCTCCAAACACTGTCAGTCAATATGACAGAAATTCTCCAGAGTCCTCTCAGTGACATTGGCTTCTGCATTAAGAATTATTTTCAGACTTCTGGGCTCACTGTTTTCAAGCAGGGAGCATTAGTGTTTCAAAGCCACCTTCTCCACCTCTATTAGTACACAGCTACAAACTCCTGCAGCAGAACTCATGGCACTAAACATCTCATCAGCACAGTGCCCAGTATAGTGCTGAAATCTGCGGCTCAGTTAAAAATGACCTCAGAATGACAGCTTCATATTTAGATTTAATGCTGTTCATTTACATTTTGTTCACAATAATTTCACTGAGTGGCATGCACCCAAGTGCTTAATAGGCATGTTTTATTTTTTTTAAATGGAAAATAATTGATCCTAATGCACACTTTGACTATAGGTTATAGATACTGATACCTAGTAACAGCTGGGTTTTAGGATCTCAGTCTGAAAGGGCAAAAGTTATAATATCAGATGTAAGGTCAGGTACTTCTTGGTTGTTAGTCAAAGCATTTGTTATATTGACTCCACAGTGTGATTTCTTAAATAGCATATCCTTTTAGGACTTTCCTATGGAACAGAATGAAAAAATATACCCTTTCAATAGGTTTTTGAGCCATCCTATATAATTCTCTGTGAATAATAGCATACAGAATTCTCTAGGATGTAGGATGCTTTAAGAAGAATTTCAGAAAGGATATCATTTCCATAAAATACTCTAACACCCTGCAGAATTTACTGTAGAACTGTATAGGGTAAACACCTATTAAATTGTATAGGATTTTTCCACATGGTCTCCCCTAACACTGCCAGTTGTGAGGTACCAACTCCATAATGCTAACCTGTTCTTTCTCAGTCCATGAGGGCAATCAATGAAAGGAAGTTCTAGTATCTCCTTCCTGCCTTTCAGATGTTTACTGCTTATTTTATTGCTGCTGTTGTTAATGAGTGCAAGAATATCTAGAAATTAACTAATAACCTTCTTTCTACCATTCAATAAGTATTCCTGAGTGCTTATAATCAGATTAATTAGTTAGACATAATTTTAATACTTTCTTTGAACTGATATTTAATGGAAGGAAACATCCAGATGACGATACCATTAAGAGAGCGATAAAAAGGATTTTTTAAAATGTACCTCTAAATTTATCGGGCTGATCCAAAGTACAATGATATCAGTGGACTTTGTATTGGGCCCTAAATCTGTAATTTAACTTGCAAATTCTGGGAAACCTTCTGGAAATCAAATAGAAGGTACATCCATTTTGTTACTTACTCATTGAATAAATCTGCAGTTGCAGAATGGCACTTCCAATTTTATCGTCCAGGTTGAGGCTTGTTTGAAAATATGGGCACAGCAAATTTAATCATAGATTCTTGGCGCTTAAGGCCAGAGAGATTTGTCATCACCTAGAGTGTCCTCAGGCATAACACAAGCTATGGAATTTCACCCAATGGTTCCTTCATCAACTTGTGGTTTAACTAGAGTGTATCATTTTGAGAAAGGCATCCAAAATGTGATTTGAAGATTGCAAGCAATGAAGAATTTACCACATCTCTTGTAAATCTGTTCCAGTGTTTAATTACCCCCACAGTTAAAATATGTATTGTATTTTCCATTTGAACTGTGCTGACTTCAGTTTGCTGTTACTTGATCTTGTTATCCGTTTGTAAGCTAGAGGAAAGAGCCTTCTAGTATCAGATATCCCCCGTGTAGATGATTATAGCTCATGATCAAGACACCTTTTAACCTTCACCTAAGAGTCACAGAGTGGTAGTGTTTATGGCCAGAAGGGATCATCGGACCATCTAGTCTGACCTGAAGGACATCACAGGCCACCGACACCTTTCAGCATATGCACATTGAACCCAATAATAGAAATTTGAAGTATTACAACCCACAGCATACTAGCTTTTTATATGCCCAAGAGTAACCACCTTTAGCTTTAAACTGCAGGGCATGATTTCCAGGTGACAAACTATTTTTGTAGCTCTTCTTTGAACTTGCCCTAATTTTTCAGCATCTTGTTTATAGAGTGGCAACCAAAACAGGCCTTGGTCTTATTCATACTGGTCTTATTTGTACAGAGGTAATACAGCTTCTCTATTCCTGATCAAAATCTTATAATAGGGCAGTAAATATCTTTAGATACCCCTAGAAGAGTTATTAATAAATACTGCAGTGATAAATGAAAACACACAATGTGATGAATTGAAATAATGGTAAGTGAGAAACTTTGCAGGCAGCTTGTAATTTATGCCTATGTCATTTCTATTCATCTTCAAATCCAAAGTTGCTGTGTGCTAAGTACTTCCTGAAAATTTTGAAACAGCCCAAATGCACAAGTGTGAATATTTTATCACTGTGTTTCTTTAATGGAGTTGTAGCGTTTCTAATGCTTTTTGCTTGATATCACACTGTTCCTTCTATTTCTTGTATTATTTCACTTAAAATACCTGTCACTTTATTATATGTGATGATTACAGGGTTCACTCTTCTGTAAGAATATCAGAACTGAAGCCAATTACAGGGGAGGGAAAAGAAAGGGGATATGAAACCTAGTCTCATCACAATTTGTGCCTGGAATATTAACATTTACTAGGGTAACTTCTTTTATGAGAATTTGGCTGCAGGAAGTTCTTCTATAATCTGCTATGCCTGTTTGTAAACAGATAATATTCCCACTTTACATTTACTTCCTTTTAGGGGTTTGCCTTTATTCACTTAAATATTTACAGAGCTTAAAACTCTTTTTCCTCATGGTTCACTGTTTCAAGGGTTTCCCCTGTAGGGCCTCCTCTATTCTAATCTGTACTTTCTTATGTCATAGTAAGATGTTCCAACTTCTTGTATGCTGCTAGACAAGAAATGATTAGCCATTCCTTTTCTAATCTCCAGTGATGCAGCAAAATCACCTCTGACATAAGGATAATTCTATATCATCTGTTTAATGACATGTCTAAGACATTTATCACTCTGGCATGTCGGGATAATTGGGGGTCAACTTTTTCTGCTTTTACATGTTTCTGATCTTGGTTTTTCCTTTTTTTTTAATTTTGCTTCTCTCTCTTCCTCTGTCCTCTCATTTAGAATTACCATGAGAGGTGATAACTTTTCTGGAGAAGGGTTTATTAAAGATATGGGCCTTACTTTTAAATACATCTGGCTCATGCCCTCTCAGAACTCCTGTTCCCTCCACCCTGGGTTTCTTGCTCTGTACCATGATTCTAAGAGTACCACTCTTGGTTTTACTGGCTGTATCATATCTGTGAAATGTGGTAGTCATGCTGGTTTGTGTATTGATAGACCATCTTTGTGGCTGGTCAAGTCCATTCAGGGCCTTTAGACTAATTTTAATTCAATCAGAAAGAAATACAGAGCTTTGTGTTTGTGTGCCATTGTTGTTCAGTAGCAGACTACACTATTGTTGTGTACAGCATTGTTTTCAAGTGGCATTTACCAGAGTGATTCACAGCCATCTAGTATGGATGTGTTAGTCAACAAAGTCATGGATCACTTTTGTAAAGTGTTTGAGAAGATTGGGATGCACTACATTGCTCAGCTTGACATGGAAGAAAGTATTTCTTTCAGTTGTTGCAATGAGTCCATGATCAGCAAGAGTTCCAGCCTGTCCCAGAAGTCTTATGTTACCTAGATGATTGGTGATTAGACGTCCTTTGCCAAGGGCACATTTCTCAAACCAGAGTGTTTTCTTGTTTTTTGTCATTGTCATCTCTGTCTTCTCTGCATAACTTTAGAGCCAGCTGTTATCCATCCTTCTGCTTGCTTTTTCCAGACAATGGGACAACGTAACAATGGCAGAAGTTGCGCTGGTGGAGGAGGCACAGAGCTGAGTGTTGTACGTATTCTGCTCACATTAGAGTTATATCTCACAAGCAGTTTCATATGTATTTTAAAATGGAGAGATTACAGCATTTTGCCTTGCTGAATTCCCCATATGACAGCTGTTGGTGAGGTAGAGAAGGTACCCCTCATGACATTCTGGGATTTTAACCTTAAGGTTAAGATTAGTATCTCCAGTGTTGAGATGCACTTGTGAAAATTAGGATATGTAAATCTTCACCTTGTTGTAACTAACTTGTAACCAGGAAATGGGTTTTTCTTTGTTTGAAAATAAATCCCCCTAATGAGCGTGGCATGTTATGTGCTTCTTGCGCAGCAGTTAACATGACTTTGCTTTGTCGTAAGCATTATGGAAATTTTACTAACACAAACACATAAAGAATTATATCAACATTGTCAAGGATGGTAGGTCCTAATTGCTACTTCCCTATTTTTCCAGTACTAAGGGCAACTAGTTTTGGGTTGGTTTTTTTTTTTTAAAACAGGTGTGTTCATTGCTGTTTGAAAATGACTACAAAATAACCACAAGCCTCATGCTTATGTGCAAACCCTACAAAAACATACCAGCATGAGCTCATCAGGTAGTATGGTAAATGTGATACCTAAAATGTCTCTCAGATTTCCAAGGGACTCTTATGATTACAGAAGGCAAATGAGAAAAGAAACTACTTTGATGTCATTACTTTAAATAACTGTGAGCTGGAACCAATAGATTATAATTAACTCTCAACTTTGTTTTGGTTGAAAGCTCTTTATAAATCAGGAATGGCTGCAATGGCTTTAAGGGCTGGTGGAACAAAGCCATCTAGCAAAGAATGGTTTATCTTGACTTTCAGTAGATGATGTATAATCACCAAGACAACATTTGCAGTCATCAGTAGTGAGATCCAAGTAGCAGGTGGTGTACCTCATCATCTCAACCACATGCCAACAGCTGTTTCAAAAAATCAGACTGAAGAAGCAGTTTCCTTATCACTAGTATTCTGTAACCTAGGAGAGTACAGTTATTTCAAGCACAAAATTTCATGTCTATAATCTCCTCTGAAGAGTTGAGAGGCCAGATTGTCCCTATGTTAAATTAATGCTTCAGAACTCAATGTCACTTCTCTTGGGAATGCAAAAGGGTAATTAATGACAGGGAGGAATTGGTTGCAAAGTTCTGAAATTGATAGATATTGTCAGGTGATCTGTGGGCCTGCTGAAGTAGTTCCTACATAAAATCAAAACATGAATATTAACGGAACTGAATGAACAATTTGCAAGTAATCTGGCAAATGCAGTCCTTTTCCCTGTCTTATTTGCAAACTGACTATAGCCTTTGTTGTTTATGATAATATAGATGTATGTTATGCAAATTGTCCATGATAAATATTCATAGTTGGATATCAACAATTTCATTTGCCAACCAAAGGACATTGTATAGTTTGTGTTCTCTGATTGGATACCTTATAATTTATAATGCAGAAGAGTACCTAAAAATATAATTCTGGGTTTGATTATCTCATGTTGAGGAAGGACTGAGGAAAAGAATCACATCAGGAAGAGAGCAAGAGAGAGCAAAAGCTTTGAATATGCACACTTGTGAATTTTTGAACATTTAAAATCTTTCACTGAGCTATTTGTAGAGCATTATATTTAGCTATGCATGTGAACTCCAGATTTGAAAATAGCTAGGTTCCTTCCTGAATCTGGAAGAGAGAAAAGCTTTGAATATGCACTCTTGTGAATTTTTGAACATTTAAAATCTTTCACTGAGCTATTTGTAGAGCATTATATTTAGCTATGCATGTGAACTCCAGATTTGAAAATAGCTAGGTTCCTTCCTGACAGATTTATTGATGGCCTGTTCTCTCATGTAACATTCACACCACATAATTGTGTGTGTGTGCACTAGCGTGATCCTACTTGCAAGTGAAGTCAATAGTGCAATACTGATTTAAACCACTAGAAGAGCTGGTCCTCCAGTTTTACCCTGCATTGACTAGCATTTTTTTTTTATAGGGCATATTTTCAGTTGATGTAAATTGGCAGAGCTGATCATTAGGCTCTACAGTTTTAAATGTGTTTATCGTGAAGTTCTGTTGTTAGGACTGATCTATGTATTTTGCACATGCAGAATATCAGGCTGTGTTTGTATTTCAAAATCCTGATAAAGGTTTTCAAGATTCATAGATGCAAAGGCCAGAATAACCCTTGAAATAATCTTGTTTCACCTCCATTTAGCACTATAGATCATAGAACTTCCCTAAAATGATTCCTAGATCTTAGTTTTTAGCAAAACCTCCAATTAGGATTTTAAAATGATCAGTAATAGAGAATCGACTATGACCCTTGGTAAATAGTTGCAGTAGTTAATTATTCTCACTGTTAAAAATGTATACCTTATCTCTAGCCTGAATTTGAAAAGCTTCAACTTTGCCATTAGGTTGTGTTACACCACTCGGCTGGACTCAAGAGCCCATTGTTAAATATATCTTCCCCATGTAAAAATTACCCCTTAACTTTTTCTTTAAAAAAATAGGCTGGGTTCCTTGAGTCTGTCACTGTAAGGCAGGTATTCTAATCCTTTAATCATTCTCATGGCTCGTCTTAGAACTTTCTGCAGAAGGTTCTAATTTATCAAGGGCCAATGCATTAAAAGATCACATTAGCTCTTTTGACCACAGCATCACATTGGGCACTCATGTTCAGCTGATTATTTATCACAACCCCCAAATCTTTCTCCCCAAGTCATTGCTTCCCAGGAAAGAGTTCTTCATCTTCTTTGTTCTAAGAGGTAGTACATTTATATTAAGCCATATTTAAACTACATACTGTTTGCTTGCACATAGTTTACTAAGACCTGTCCTCTTCAATATTTACCAGTCTCCCAGTTTTTTTGTCATCTGCAAACTGTTTCTGTGATGATTTTGTTTCCTTCCTGGTCTTTGAGAAAAAATGTTAAATAGTGCCCAAGAACTGATCCCTGAGGAAACCCACAGGAAGCAGACATGTTTGATGACAGTTTCCCACTATTACATTTCGAGGCCTATCAGTTATTCAGTTTTTAATCCATTTAATGTGTACCATATTAAATTTACAACAAGGTAGGTTTTTTATCAAAATGCTAAATATGAGTCAACCGTGTGTGACACTGTTGCAAAAAAAAGCCAACATGACTCTGGAAGCATTAACAGGAATGTTGTGAGCAAGACACAAGAAGTCATTCTTCCGCTCTACTCTGCACTAATTAGGCCTCAGTTGGAGTATTGTGTCCAGTTCTGGGCACCACAAGAAAGGTGTGGAAAAATTGGAGAAGGTCCAGAGAAGAGCAACAAAAATGATTAAGGATCTAGAAAACATGAGCTATGGGGTAAGACCGAAAGAACTGGGCTTGTTTACTTTAGAAAAGAGAAGACTGAGAGGGGACATGATAGCAGTTTTCAAGTATCTGAAAGGATGTTACAAGGAGGAGGGAGAAAAATTGTTCTCCTTGACCTCTGATGATAGGAGAAGAAGCAATGGGCTTAAAGTGCAGGAAGGGAGGTTTAGATTGAACATTAGGAAAATTTTCCTAACTGTCGATGTGGTTAAACACTGGAATAAATTGCCCAGGGAGGTTATGGAATCTCCATCCCTGGAGATATTTAAGAGCAGGTTGGGTAGACATCTTTCAGGAATGATATAGATGGTGCTTGATCCTGCCATGAAGGCAGGGGACTGGACTTGATGATCTCTCAAGGTCCTTTCAAGTTTTAGTATTCTATGATTCTATGTCATGTGATACTAAGTCAACCCCCTTACAGAAGTCTAAGTGTATTACATGAACACTGTTATTTTGACTGGATTTATTTTCAATAAACCCATATGGATTTGCATTATCTTCCTTTGCTTTTTATTAATTGAATTGCATGTAAGTCTATTAATTATCTTGCCTAGGGCCCATGTCATGTGGATTGGCCTACAATTGCCCTGGTCATCCTGTTTACTCTTTTAAAAAATTGGCACAGTTTTCTTTCCTTCAGACAACTGATCGCCAGTCTTCTGGAATGTCCTCTGTACTCCAAGATTTACTGAAAATTGACATAGTGGAACCTTCATTTCTTCCCCTTTAAATGCCTCTACTTTTTTAACTGGAAATAGACAAAACTGTCATGGAGCCAAATAATTCCTTTCTGTTATTAGATTTGTCTCAAATTGGCTTGTTCACCAGTAAGTAATTGTAGGCTATTATAGTACAGACATCCAGGCTGTATTCCATCTATTAAGTGCCAATTTTTTTCTTTTTGTGATAGTGGCACTTCTGTTAAAAATGGTTTGTTCCCATAAGATTTGAAACAAGCATTATTATTATTTATTACAAAAGCATCTGAAGATCTTAACCCCATTTTGAAAGGTGCTTTACAAACATAGAATATATAACTGTCCCTATACCCAAGAACTAATTCATAAGGAATGAAGAAGAAAAGCAGAGATCTCTTCTATGGAACAGGTTTCGAAATGCTGAAGAACACAGAATACTGAGACATTGTTTAAGGTCTGATAGTTAACTTTATATGCCATTACTATGATTTTTCCTATGGGTTTTTCCCCTTTAGGATGATATGCAGCCTGCAGCATCAGAAACCAACTGGGAGTCAGTCACAAGCTCTGTCTCAGTAAGTAGCTTGTTACTATTTTGCCCGTGAAAGGGTTGGTAGAATGGCTTTTAGTCAGTGTAAAATGCATCTGCACAGTGGAATCACTGCTTGTCCTGTAAGCAGGAGATTAAGTGATATGTGTTCTTCAGACTCATTCTAGACTATCAATATATTTGGGGAAGATGGGGTGGAAGGTAAGAAATGTCAGCAGTCCTTTTAACCACATGAGATGGCCAGTGAGCAAAATACTTAGAACCTTCAAACTGAATCCTCACAACAAAAACTGCCTTTACATTTTGGTTTAAACACATGAGGATATTTTGCAAGTTAGTAGGAGAATGGATATTTTTAAATTGTCATTATTGAAAATTTTTATAATGCCAGCAAGGAAATTAAATCTTAATTTGACACTTAATTTTATGTAGCTAAATATGGCTTTTAAAAAAAGAAAACCCAGGTAAAAATTTCCACACTCCTTCACTTTATTTCATTTATGTCACAGACAAAAATTTGTTCCTGGCAGCAAAATTTAGGGCATTTCTAATCTGCAGTTAAGCACCCACCACTAGCCCATTTCAGCTGACCCAGATTTCCAGTGCTTGGTCTGTTTAATTTCAGTGTCATTCTAACTTACACTGGAGCCCATGCTCTGGAACCCTCACAAGCCACAGATGTTTAATTGCAATGTAAACATACTCTTAGACTCTGGGACCACACCATATGAGAGAGTCATGCCAGTATCGGACTTGCTAATGGAACAATCAGTCCCACAACTATATGTTGCAGTTTCCGGTGCCACACGCACTTGATAACTCCATTTCTATAACAGATAGAAAGAGGGTTATTTTTTGCATTAGAATGTACTGGTTTGGTCAAAACATGGAACATGATGACAATGATACTGTTACAAGACTGACCCTCCAGAGGAAAGTGCTTTCAAATTCTTGGATTAAATGTGCTATACAAGGTCTAATACTGAATTATCATATTACCAAGGGCCTGGCTCTATTAGACATGCCATGCAGAGGGTATTAGGACAGTATTTGGTAAATCGTGTTCTCTTCTTACAACAGTTCTTTTTTCTCCTCCTCACCTGGTTGGTTGGTTTTTAAATAAGATTTGTGCATTTTTGTCTAACAATATGTTGCTTGAAAAAATGGGAAATGACTTTGGGAATGTGAGGGAAAGGCTCCTTCATCAGATAGCTGTGATCATGGGACCAAATTATACTGAAAACATTGCCATAGTGATTGTCCTCACCATAGTAAAGTGCCAAAAATTAAAATAATAATCCACAGCTCTTTTTCTATGGCAAGCCCTACACAGAGATTGTTGGTTTCTATTTGTGCATATTTATATGGCTCTTATGACCATAGCATTAGGGCACTTCAGAATTATTTATCCTCCCAGTACTCATGTTAGTTAGGGAAGAATTATTCCCATTTTACAGATGGGCACCTGAAACCAGGAGGCTTGTGGCTAAGTTAGAAGCTGAGCTCAGATTTCTTGGTCCAGTTCTTTGCCATGGCTACTAGACACTCCTTCCTTCCCCCACAGAGTACACCACAGTTGGGTAGTAAACATTAATAACCTTAATTCATGGATAGAGAAATTGAGGCAAAGAAGATAAACACTTTGCCCATCACCATAGACAGAATCAGGTCGAGACTTCAAGAATGCCTAATTCTTTGCATAAAAGGGTTTATAGATTCTACTGTGGATCTTCAGTCAGCATATGAGGGCAGAACTTTAATCCATTAACTTCTGGCACAATTATGCTCTGCACCTACCAAAGAGTCTAACAGTGATTGACAGGTTTGAATTCCACCTTCTAAACCTGCAAACAGCCTAAAAATCCACTGCAAGATCTTACAGGGGAAACAAATGGGGGATAAGACATGCATTTTCATGTTCCCCGGCTTGAGCTCAAATCACTGACCAATACATACATCATGGTTTTCCTCCTAAGGCTTAGAGCAACACTTTCAGCATTTGTCTTTATCCTAAAGTGCTGGAGCCCAGGAATAACGTCTTAATGAGATTTTTCATCCAGCAGAGCCATTATGTCCAGTCCCCATGTCTTGTGTTTCAGCACATAACAATCTGATTTAACAACAATTGAACTTGTACAGAACTGCATATCCCAGGAACAATGATACAGAAAGATGTTTGTCATTCCTAATAGAATAGTAATGTATCATAATGGAGACCAAAGGAACTAATCTGGCTTGGATTAAAAAAGAGCTGCCAGTGTATTTTATGAAAGGTGCAATATGTTGAATGTTTTAAGTAACTAACAAGAAGTGTATGATGTGGTAACTCTGTCCCCTCTGTTCTTCTATGTCTTCTCTTTGGAAGCAGTCATAGGAGCCAGATGGCACAAGCTTTCACAAATCCAATATTTAGTTCTTGGCAAGGCAAAACAGGCAGCTTTGAAGTTACTTTTGGGTCTGTCACATGATGTAGCTGCCAATAGGTTATCTGAGGTACAATAATTCCTCTGTCTTGTCTATATGAGAGAGAGGGAGAGGGAGAGGAACTCCTAGAAGAGGTTATATAACAGAAGAAGGTGCTTTTATTGGTTTGACATATCCTGCAAATTCACAATCTGACCTCCAAGACTCTCACAAAATGTAAGGAAATATATTGCTAAACACATACATCATTTTTCTCATCTAAATCTAATATTTGTGACTTTACAAATAGAGCCTGACTCCATCGCATAAAAAGTGCTGGCTGCTCCTACTTGAGCTAAGGGATATAGTCTGTTATTTCCATTAGCAGTCCATTAATTTGATGAGAGTGTTTATATCCACTTTGTGGGCCTGCCTCTAGAGGACAACAAAATCATATATACTTGAGTAGGTTTGATGTTCCTCTAGTGGAAAGCATGGGAACAGAAGGCAGTCAATTTGCAATTCTGCTACTTACGCCGCATCCTCACGCTTTTTTCCTTATATCCCCCTTACCTTAATTCTTTGAAGGGAAGTTAGGAACTGTTTTCCTGTGATTAGAAACCAGTCACTAGCCTCACTGATTTCTCTCTTAAGGATTCCTATTCTTGTTTTAGTGTGTTTCATTTTTTATCATAAAAGATTATGTAAGCACTGGACATGATGAATGTGATTAGAACACCAAATTTCATATAGCATTATTTTATGTAGCAGCACTTTATTCAGTTTAGTGATGTGAGCTTTTTTGTCCTTTGGGAGTCCCATCACTTCAAAAAAGTTTTATTTCAAAACACTTAGAAGTCAGTAGAGGTTCTTTGCTGTGTGTCTTCCTTTTAATGACTCATGAATTTTTAGAATCATCTATATTGTGCCCTATTTATCTATGAATTGTAGAAAAATTATGAAAGTAGGTTAACTGAAACTTATTTGTGATGGGGTCTATTAAAGGCCTAATAATTTCCAGGGCAATACTATTTTTTTAAAGTCCTTTATATCATATGTATGTGAAAAGATAGACGTTGGCAACATAATCCCCATTCTCAACTCCTTGTGTAGTTTGATATTTATCAAACTGCAGTCCTCCTTCCATGTCAGCACTGTTATTATGATGCTTGCATTTTTTTTACTTCTAGAGTGAGATAATCTATATTTACAGCAAATTGTAGGCAGTAAAATATCAAGGGCTCTAAATATTTGCTGGTAAAGATGAAGTTATAATTAAATAGGCTGAATTTTCAGTAAAACTAAATAGTTTTGCTCAGGTTAATAGGCCACTGATTCCTGTAGGACTACTCACCTGACTAGTGAAACTTGCATAGATTTATAGAGTTACATGGGGAAGCTTATGCAAGATCAGGCTAAAACTGACCTTCTGGAGGAGAATTCAAGTGCTGTACTCTGTGGGGCATGATTGCAGCTTGAGTAAACATACCTGGGCTAGCTTAGGTACTAGAGCAGTCAAGCCATGACAATGCACACTTGCAACCATGGGTAATTGCTCATGTGGTTAGACTGTTGTGCTATGGATTCACTGCTCTAGGACCTGAACTAGCTTTAATCAAGTATGTTAATTCAAGCTGCTGTCACACCCCGTCATTGCAGTATAGACAGACCCTGTGTGTCTACATGGCTTCAGGTCCAGATTCTGAGGACAGTGGAGATTCTTTTCTTGCATTTTTCTGTCAGTTTCAGTTTTTTAACTGAGATAATAAAAAGCTAAGTCATCTTCTGTTTATATCCTGTGTTGTTATACAATATTTGAGGAGATGGCTCTTTTGGGAATGACATATCTACAGTCAGTTCTTTCTTCAGTATATTTTACACTAAAATTGGTGAGGGTAGTTGGAGGGCAAGATGATAGAGGTTGCACCTCGCTGGTCCCATACCTTTGGGACCTGACCGCGGTCCTGAACCAGGGAGTTTGTTGGACCAGGGGAGGTCAGTGTTCCCCTGCTGGTTTCCCGGTTCCCAGTGCTCCCAAGGCTGTGGCTCCCACCCTACTGCTGCTCACTGCTGCCAGAGTTCCTCAGATTCCAGACAGGACCACCTGGCTGCTGCCAGACCCACTACCACCACGGCTTCCCAGGGTTCCGTTCCGGGACCACCCTGCTGCCACCAGCCCCACTGCTGCTCAGAAGCCATAAGCCCCACTGCCGCTGGGGATTCCCCTGGGATCCCCAGCCAAGACTTCCCTGCTGCTACCTGGCCCCACTGCTGCCTGTGGTTCTCTGACCAGAACCTCCCAGCCACCCCTGCCCCGCTGCTACTGAGGATTCCCCGGATTATCTGGATGGACCACTGATGTTGTTAGACCAGAGAGTTCTATATTTTGGGAGGCTCAGTCTGGACCTTTGAAACTTTGGAAATTTTGCTCTAGTAAAAATAAAACTATTTCCTTTAAAAGTCTATTAGTTATTAAAGGTTAGTCCTTTTCTTAGAAGTGACTTCACTCCACCTGAACTCAATAGATATGTATGCATCTAAGGTTTTGTCTACGTGTCTTATTCAGGAAACCTAAAGCAAATCAATTTAAGGTGCAAACTCAATTAACCCCCATGCAGATGCTCTCATTCAGGAGAGAATTAAGGCCACTTTACCCCTGGTGAATGAGAGCATCCACATGGGAGTTTAATAGGCTTTAATTTATTTGCCTTGACTTTACACCCTCGTTTGATTTGCCATAATTTTTCTGAATGTCCCCCATGTTGGCATGGTTTATGGGTAGTATATTTTCCTAAATACTTAGAAATATTAAACCCTTTTGGATGTGTGTGTTTCACCCATTGCATTGTTTAGACCCTTGTATTACAATTTTCTAATTTCCTTCAGCATTTTTTTAAGTTCTCTTTATAAACATTTTTAAACCAGAGTTAATTCTTTATTTCAAAGGGCCAAACATTGACATATTTGTATAGGCTTTTGCTTATGTTCAGGGCCCAAGAAGGGGAAAAGATGATCCATAGTTGGGAGCATTGTTTTGATGCAGACTTCCTATGTGACCTTAGGAAAGTTGCCTTAGTCTTTTTCTGCCTTAACTCCTCATTATACAATGGGGACCTATGTTATAGGGTGTGGGAAGGAAAAATACCTTAAAGCCTGTGAAGCACTCAGATGCAGCTGTAATGAGTGCCGTGTATCAGTAGATGCTTCAATGAGATTTTTGTCTATATACAAGCTGAGGAAAGGACTTTTAGGCACAGCCTTTCATGGGAGCCAAAGAAAAGCAGCCTGTGCCACGTTCTGTAGAATGATATAACATAAATACTGGATGATGCAAAGGATGGAGCAAGGAGAATTCTGACCCCTTCAGGCCCCCTTTGAAAGGCTAGTGCTCCCCAGTAGCATTAGACCTACTCACTGCTCCATTCAGCTAGCAGCATCTGTCCTTGTTTGGGAAGGTCCAGTGCCTTTCTCCCTGGCATCCTTACTCAGCTTGCATGGTCATGATGCAGTCTGGCCCAGTCCAAAGAGCTCAGAAGATAACACAGCATAATTAGTAATCGCACAAGTAGGGTCATGGTGTCAAGATAGAATCTCAGTTTAATCTGGGGTCTTGCCTGGATATTCTGCATGAAGCAGCTGTGAGAAAAATGTCTCTGAACTATTGACAGTTGTATTGAGTGGTGCTGTCATTTTGCAAAATACATTGAGCTGTATGTCACTCTTAGGGGGTATCCTATCCCTCTCCATCAGTGACCGACCCTACCCTCACTGCGGAAGCGCTAGACCAGACCGTCGCTGGATTTGACACTGTGGAAGAGCTGCTCAAGCACTTGAATCCAGAATCGTGGCAGGAAGATCTTGAAAATCTGTACACAGACACCGAACATCAATATAGAGGCAGGAGCTACCATGACAGAAAGTCTAAGGGTAAGAAGGGACACTGTACCTGTTCTTAATTCTAGATGTTTTTTCTGCGCTACTCACAAATGCCCTTTGGTTGCTTATCAAGTCCAGATTCAGACTCCATTACTCATGCTGAAGTCAAGAGGACTAATTGCAGAGCAAGGAATTACCCAGCAAAACTAAGGCTAGCAGAATTTGAACCTTTATCATTTTCAGTTTGTTCGATTAAGGTATTTATCATCCATACCAACATGCTGGCTTCAGCCTCCTAATAGTCACAAATGAAAACACAGACACCTGAAATTATGTATGTTAAAGACAGATGGTTTTCAAATTCATGTTGAAGTATTATTTTGCATGTAAAGCATAGGGTTCCCGAATTCTCACCCTGCTTTAAACATCCTGGCTGTGTCTACATTAGCATCCTTTTTCCGGAAAGGGGTGCCAATGTAGACTTTGGAATAGGCAAATCCATGGGGGATTTAAATATCCCCCGTGGCATTTGCATTAACATGGCTGCGGCTTTTTTCTGGGTTGGAGATAAGCCGGAGAAAAGCGCCAGTCTAGACGTGATTCTCCGGAAAATAAAGCCTTTTTCAGAGGATCTCTTATTCCTACTTGAAAGTAGGAATAAGAGATCCTCCGGAAAAGGCTTTATTTTCCGGAGAATCACGTCTAGACTGGCGCTTTTCTCTGGCTTTTCCCCAAGCCGGAAAAAAGCGGCAGCCATGTTAATGCAAATACCGCGGGGCATATTTAAATCCCCCGCGGATTTGCCTATTCCAAAGTCTACATTAGCATCCCTTTTCCGGAAAGGGGTGCCAATGTAGACACAGCCCGCGTGTTTAGATTGTTCTGTGTTGAGTGGGGGATAATTACTTCTATAACATACTTAGGGAAGCATTTGGCACAAACAACTGTACGTGCAGCTGTTTGTTTTTTAAGGATGTGAATGTCTCACCAATTTCCATTATGTAGACAGGAAACATTATTGTGGTTTAGCATTTTTAACTGCAGTTGAACAAAGTGTACATCTCTCAATTATACATCTCTTTCCCCTCCTTTGGTACATTCCATCCAACAAATATTAAAGTAAAAGAATATTAAGTTAATGACACAAACCAATAATGATGAAGAAACACTGAACAGAAAACACAATACTGCCCGCCAGCATTGTTCAGAGTGGTGGAGAAGGCATCTTGAGTGTCTTCTAACTGGTCATCATCGTAGATTTTAGCAACTAATGATATGTTTAACTCAGATGATGATTTTTCTTATTACTTTTATCTGACTTTACACGTTCAATATACATGTACTCTATGTTTTGCTGAATAATTTTTCTTAAATAATTAACAAATTATGGGTCTGATTCTGCAAGTCTTTTAACCTAGACAATTCCCATTTAATTGCGGTTTAGGCATTTAAACATCATCAGCTTATGCCTTAGTGCAATTTGATCTGAAACTGGAAACATACAGGCCTACATTTTCCAAAATGACTGGTCATTGTAGTTGCCTCATTTTTCACCTGCCCAACTTCAAAGGAGTCTGACTTTTAGAAAGTGCTGAATACCTACCCTCTAAAATCAGGCCCCTTTAAGACACTACAAAAATTTAGGCAACCAAAACCACTACACATTTTTGAAAATGTAGGCCACATTTCTTCTGTTTAGTTTGTATTAAATGTGATCACATTTGGAGGTCAGTGAAACATAATCAGCTACATGTCTCTTATTCCCAGACAGGACTGATGGAAATGTACACAAAAGAAAAAAAGGAGCTGATTTGATTTTAACAGAGGCTGACAAGAGACCCTGATCTCTTACTGAGTCTTCCATCCCGATTTCACTTGAGTCTCAGATTAAATCTGATCCCAGTGCAAATGTACTGCATCTAAAGCAATGTATGCGGTGTTTTATCCATTCCAATCAGATTGGCTCCAATTACTGATCCAATCTCTGTGGCTGTCTGCAGGAAATCTGGATTAATTAGGATTTCACCATTGAATGCAATGGAATTCAACTTTTTGGCCTAGTAAAGTGCTATGAAAAAGTAAAAAGTTTGCCAATTTATTTCATAATTCAGGATGTTTTTCTTAGAAATAAGCAAAAAAGTGGTATGGTTTATTTCTCTTCTTTTCTTCAAACAAAAGGATGGATTCTCTGCTACTAGCAATATACATTTCAGTCCAAAATTACTATATATTTTAGAATGTGCATCTGTCTGCCCATTTGTTCAAGAACTCTTTTTAAACAGTAAAAGCTAGGACCACCAAATACGGTCTGCAGCTTCCTCTCATCATAAGTTAAAGTAAGGTCAGGGTTTAGTTGTGCCAGGATAATGGAATATGCGTGGAATGCAATTTGGTCTCTCCTGGGCCACCCAAGGACCCTGGCGGGTGGTCTGCAGCTCTTCCCCCACCCCAGGCTGACCCTGGGAGAAGCAGTGGGAGGCTTGCGTAGCCTCCACCTCCTGCCCCGGGAAAGAAACTGGTGGAGGGTTGCGCATGCCTCCCCCCCTCCTGCCTCAGGCTAGCCCCAGAGAGAAGCCAGTGGGCTGGGTGCATGACCCCCTGTTGACCGGCCCCAGGAAGAAGTTAGATTTTGGACTATGTGGCCTCCCTTGGGCCAGCCCCAGATCCAGGCAATGCCAGATAAGTCTTCTAGTCTGCTTTATAGTTGAGAGAATCTGTTTATCTGTTTATCTGCCTGTTTATTCAAGAGCTCCTCCCAAATGGTAAGAGCTAGGACCACCACATTAGATATACAGATTCTTCTTTTCATAATGTAAACCAAGGTAAGGGCTGGGGATGAGGGATTTGGGTGTCGGAGTGCGTGCAGGCCCTGGCTGGGCAGCGCTTACCTCAGGAGGTGCCAAGAAGTGACGGCATGTCCAGCTCCTAGGGGGAGATGTGGCCTGGTGGCTCTGCACACTGCCCCTGGCTGCAGGGACCGCTTCCTCAGCACCCATTGGTTGTGGCTCCTAACCAATAGCAGCTGTGGGGTCGGTGCTCAGGGTAGGGGAAGCATGGAGAGACACCCCTGGCCACTCCTGTACCTAGGAGCTAGATACAGAGGTTTCTGGGAGCAGTGCAGAGCCAGAGCAGTTAGGGAGTTTGTTTTAGCCCCTATTAAAATCACTGAGATGGCTTTCAATAGCCTCAGGAGATTGAAGCAGATTCTAAGAGACTTCTAGCCTGTCTGAGAGGTTTGGCATTCCTACTCCACTCAGTCCTCCCTTTCTCCCGGGAGTCTGTTATCTCCCAGTAGCCCCTTCTCTTTTCAGCTGCTGAGTTTTATAGGCCCCACCTGCTCCTGGCCAACTGAGCCTCCTTTAAGCAGCTGTCTGATTGGTTAATTGAGCAGTATGACCTTCAATAAACCCTATAAGGTAGTCACCCCTTATACTATCTAGCCCCTGTCACTAGGCACTCACAGTAGTTGCCAGGTAAGGTATCTCCAAAGAGACAGTATATGCCACTTGAGTGGTTCAAGTCAGGATCGGGTTCTTTATAACAACACAGCACTAATCTACTTACAGCAAAAACAAAACTAAGGTTAAGATTTAAGAGCTAGTGAGTAAGGAAGAGAAATGGAAACAACTGGTTACACATATAAACCAAAACATAACATTCACTCCTAGGTCTTCACTTATTAATATTTACCCTTTCCTATTTTATCAAGTAGATTTTCTCCCAGAGATTCAGTCTTTGACAGAGTTACTGGTTTTCAGTCAAAACCAGGATCTGTGTTTTCACAAATATCCCTATGCCTTACAAGGGTTTTCTTCAATAAATGGTTGATAAATGTCTTTTTTCCTGCCTTATGTTCCAAAACTCATTGTTTTGCCACCCAAAAGACATTGTGGTTCTCTTCCTGGGGTCCTGGCTTCAAGGTGTCTCCCTTACTCCTGTGTTTCTGTATGATGGAAGAGCACCTCCATTGTAGCGACTTACGTCAATGCTTACTCTGCATGTTACAGAGTCATCCCCTATATAGAAGAAATCTGTTCTTCAGGTTACATTTTAACATACAAATTTAATATCTTTAATACTGATACACAATTTCTTACATGACATCCATATATATATCTAGTAGTGATCATGATGATCAATGTGATATAAGCTTTTAATAGATACCTTATGCCATTGGGTTGGGGTTGTTTGTATAAATATTGTGAAAGCAGCATGTTGGGGTATAATGAATTTGTTAGACATTATAAGCATAGCTGTTACAGAACAGCGAATCCTATGCCAGTTGACATTGAGGGGTTCTTAGGGTCACACCAGAGCTAATAAGAAATGCACATGTTTGAAATGTGATAGGAATACAGCCATGTTACATGTTGAAATCCAATTAGAGAATGGCTTCAAATAAAATCCTTTAAATTAGGAATACATTAGGGCTTTCAAACACAGGCTCTGTGAAACTCTAAAGAATATTTATAGGCACTGTAGGAACCTTGCAACTGAAAGAACAATAGATTATATCACCATTTACATGCTTTCTCGGCTTCCAGGTTGGGTTTTATCCTTTGTTCTTGTTTAAAACTGCCCTGAGGCAGATGAGCCCAATTTGACATAATCCCTGTGTATCTCTCACAGCATTTTTAGAACATGTCACGTAAATTATATAAATAAATTGCTAACGATTTCATTGTTAATCCTACTTCCTGTGCATACCAAGTGGTTCCAGGGAATTGAGTTCAATGCAGTATTACTAGATTTTCAGACCTAATAACAGGACCCACATGGTAAATGCCATTTTATATGTAATATTTTTAGAGTTGACAATGAATATGGATTGAAAATAATGATCAGAGAAGAAGTAATACAAATACTGAAGTTCCTGCAATGACCTTAAAGGTTGGGACTATCCTGATTAAATTTGTATATCTGACAGTTGCAATTCATACACCAAATCTGATCTCACAGCATTCTTTATTTACACTAATTATATGAGGTAACAGTGTCAGGTGTGTATCTTTAAAAATTGCATTCACTGTTTGAAATTCAATGCTGTGTAT